CCACTGCTGGAAAACTTATAATGTTCATCTTCAGTGACCTCACGGCAGTAGAATATGGACAGAATACTTAAAATAAGACGCCTGAGAGAGCACATAAGAGTGACAAGTATTAGTATAAAAGCATCTTAATCACTGTTTCAAAACGAGGCTGGTGGAAACCCTGCTGAATGACAACGTGTTTGATATCTACGAAGATGAACATGTGACATAAAGTCACATTCCTATAAAATATTTGGCAACAGTCTCCTTTGAAAAAAAGGCAAAAGGAAACTCGCGAATAGACTGCATTAAATTTTTTACGATCAATTCTTGATGTTATTTTAAATAACTGCGAAACTGATTAAACAGGGTCAGCTTCAAAGAAAGCGGAAAAATGGGTTTAGCATGTTTGATGTGCGAGGTAAGATAACCTGAGAAATGGAGAACGATGTTGCAATTTAGTTCTCTATATTTCTTTACGATAACTAATAATTAAAGGCTTAGCTAGTGGAAGAAATTCTTTACACGTCATTCTGATAATTTCTCTTGTTTATTCCTTTGTTTGCCTTTTTTATTTGCCTTTTGTCTCTTTTATTTTTTTGCACAAACAATCCTGAAGTCTACACGTCCTAAAGATAAGTTTCTACTTAGCAACACTGCTGAATCCGTGATCCGCGGGCTCCGTAACGGAGAGGAATTCCAACGTACCTGTCTCGCTCATCGGTGACTCGTCCTCCATAGTTACACTGTCCGGTGAGATACGTCAAGGCATCCAGTGGAACGTGTTCATAGTCATTCAGAAACATCTGTGAAGTACAACGTAACCTATTTTAGGTAGTTAAGCCATGACGTAATCTCATTAGAAAGAAATGGCGCTGAACAGATCGGTAAATATTAATTTTTCAATGTTATTTCATTCTCCACATTCATGGTGGTCACACTAAACTCAAAAGAGAGTAAAACTAAAAGCACGTATGGACGACAAGAGTCTCTTTATTGGCTGCCCATTTTGAAAGTCTTTGGAACTTCAAAAGCCACAACAGTCACCAAAAGAAAGAACCACATGACGGCGTCTCAAACAGCAAAAAAGATCCCAGCTTTTGACACCGGTTAACGCCTGGTTGATCATTTAAAGCGTCTCAGGTTTAAGTCCATAACATTAAAAATCCTGTTTTAAAGCAAGTGATCATGAACAAACTGAGAAACTGAGTGACAACTTTTTCAGATTATTGCATCTGTTGGCGTCGGTTGGAGCGTGAGCAAAGCGTTAAAGTCAATCAAAATACTCCTGTTGGACAGAGCTATGGAGAGCTACGCGCAATGAAACTTCTGGTCTGATTGTATTCCGAGAAAGGAAAAGAGAAGCAAACAGCGTTTAATCACAGTGGATGTCTGGAGGTGTAAGGAATCTCATTCTTACTCCACCTTAGTCTTCGTCTTCAAAGTGACCAATCATTGTTTGGGATTATAGGCACGTGATCATGAAGACACTCTGGACTAAAGTGAACTGACCTGCTGTTGACGCACGCTTATTCTGAGGTCAGACTCGTTAAACTCATAAGGAATGTTCCAGCCGAGTGGACCGAACTTGCGTCTCTCTTGAACCAGTGCGTGAAAGAAACATAAGCTGAACAGCAGCTTCTTCCAAACCTACGGGGATCACAAAATGATAAGATGCTTCTAATTAATGCCTTCTTTAAAATACTTGTTCGCACAGACATCAGTCCCATGCCAGTTAACTCAGATTATTATACATTGAACTCACTATCTCTTTTCTGATTGGTCGAAAGCGTACAGTGAATTTTCGAAATCAGCGCCTATGACGTCATCTCCGCAGATTATACAATAATCATGTCAAGGACACTCAAGGTCACGGGTAATTTTGCCAAGTTCGCGCGCTTTGTGTTGCTTACCGTCAGTGAAGAAGCAAAAACATGACTTCCATTTTTTTCGTTCAACGTATAATAAAACAATTATTAGAATAATCATGGTCTCGGTAAGGGTTACCTCGACCTTGATTATTCTGGATATCACAAAAACCTCATCCAATAATTGTTCAGAATTGTTTTCAGTTCATCCTACCTTCGTTTTACTGCAGCCATTGAAGAATGTGGGATCCGATATAGGATCGCTGTGGTAGGACCGTAACAAATTGGCCCTCAGTCCCATTGGTGGTTCATTGGTCATTTTCACACCTGCGAGTACACAAAACAACTTTCAGTTACTATGCAAAGTGAAAATGAAGTTTAACATCAAACAGCAATTGCCCTAAAGGGAAGGCATTTCAAGGCAGAAATTCCCTAACATCTCAATGATATCAAAAACGTCAAGCATTTGCACAAACAAAGGCTGCTCAAACTAACTCTTTAGCAAATCTCTGAGTTTTTTCTAACTATCAACAGACGCTTAGTTACTATGCGACTCTTCGTTCCATACTGCGTAAGCTTGACGAAACGACCAGCTCCGAGAGTTCGGTTACACGCTCGATTTTGATTGGTTTTAAAAAACAACGGAAATGAGCGGAACTAAAGCACTAGCGTCTCGATTAGCCAGGTGCTTGCATTTTTGTCAGCGAGGCATGCGAAATTCGACCGGAAGTCCGGACTTCAAATGTGATCTTTCAGGGTCGCTCGTGTCCCGACCGCTGGTCAAGTGGAAGGAAGACTGCGTACGAGATTGTCTTTAACCACGCAGGTCAGTAGAAGCCCTTTGGCTGAGAACGCCTTAACAGTACGTCAAAAAATGTCGTAAATCGTTCGCAAAGTTGTCCGTCGCCGGCGCCTCGTTAAAGAGCGTGAATTTCCCAGCGTTTACGAAGATTAACTGAAATCTGTGAACTTCGTGCTTTCCATAGAGCAAATTATGAGAAGTTACACAAATTTTTCATCGTTATGGAAAAGTTGAGTAGATGTTGTGCAAATGGCGGAACGAAGCAAGACTCCACGATAACTTACCATTCTGTAAGATGGACACGGGAAATCTTTCCGTGGGATAACTTGTTAGCCATAGTCGAAAATTCTTGTGCGTCTTCTCCGGAACAATGACCTATAAAGACAATCACAGCAGAATACAGACAAGTGTTCACGCACCCCGAAACATCGAAATCTATTTTGAGTCTCAAACAAGCTAGCTAAAGAACGTGTGATATTGGTTCCTCTCTCTAAAAAGAGGGTCTCAAAGGGGTTACCCGTTAGCCGTAAAACGGGCCAAAACTTTAACCGTTAGACGTAAAAATTGGACAATTTTAAGCGTTAGCTGTAAAAATGTTAAACGTAAACAAATTTAGCTATGAAAGTGAAAGTCTCAAGATTTTTTCGTGCCTTTTTTGTGGCTTGGTAGTACATGAAAAGCCGGGAGACTCAGTAGTAAGCTCATAATACTACCATTTTTCATCCAGGAATGGTCCTGAGACCTTAATGTGTTTTACAGAAATCAAAATACTTTTTTACCTTTTTTAAACAATGAAAATTAGTTTTTAACTTTTATAGCAATGGTAATTAATTTATAAGACTTCTTTTAACCGTAACGAAATTTAATTAACCGTTAGCCGTAAAAGCCATCATCCCATTGAGACCCTCTGCCAATCTATGTCCTTTGCACGTTGTCTAAGCAGTCACTACCGAGCCGCAAGTAATTGATACAACCAAACAGAATGTGGCGGACAAACCTACTCACCTCCTCACATATTTTTTCAAGGATAGGCATCCACGATGTGGCAAGATGGCAATTCTGCAGTACAACCCAGTCACCTACCTCAATAGCCTACAGAGAAATCATAATGATGCGTCTTCGTATATGTACTGTTACACATATTAAGATGATTTCCGCAGAAGATTCGAGCAATAATGCCAAAAAAAAGAAAGTTACCAAAAAACCTCATAGCATGGTAATATGTTGAATAAAGGTAAGAAGAACTTATCGAGATTTAAGCTCTCAAGCTGACCCTGCGAGAGAAAATTAAACTTGAAGTTATCCATATTTCAATTAAAACGGACGTTTCGCGTTAGTTGAAAACACAATAACACGCATTAAGCACTTTTACGAGGTTTGACATAAACTTTCTCGAGAATGCTTGGGGATTTAATCGCGGGGTCGCCTAGAGAACTGAAATACAGCGAGAGGTTTTAAATAGTATTCCAAAAATTTCCGTGCAGTGAGTAGATTTTTAGTAAGTATTTTTTGCACTCATTGCTCGAACTTTGAGCGGAATCCGTCTTAATTTCTTATCTCTAATGTTTGCCCACTGTCTCTTTAATATCTCAGTGCTTTCTGCTGCAAGGACTCGACGGAGGAAAGAAAAAAAGGGTGCAATGCAAGCTAGGGAACAAATTTGAAGACTAAACTTTCTTTGTCTCCCAACGTCCTTTTACTGGTTACCTACATAAACATCATGGGAGGCGCGGTGGCCTCATGGTTAGTCCGCTCGTCTCCGGATCGAGCGGTCCGGGTTCGAGTCCTGGCCGGGTACAATGTGTTGTGTTCTTGGGCAAAACACTTTACTCTCATAGTGCCTTTCTCCACCCAGGTGAAAAATGGGTACTGGCGAACTTAATGCTGGGGGTAACCCTGCGATGGACTAGCATCCCATCCAGGGGGAGTAGAAATACTCCTAGTCGCTTCATGCTACTGAAATCGGGATAAGCTCCGACCCCATGAGCCACTTGGCTGGTATGCAGACATTACCTACCTACATATAAACATCTAGACATAAAGCATGCTTTCTAGTTCTTTAATAACGAGCCAGAGCATAACAACTAGATGGGTATCTCCGGGACCTCTTACCCGAAAAATATTCACATCGTAACGCTCAACGTTTTTGTCGAAAACGCATACATTTAAAAACGCTGTCCAGAGTGGAGACAGCCCTGTCGTATTAGTGTGGACAACTAAAACGGAACCTTTCAAAACTACGTTTTAGCGCGTTAAGCGTTTTAGTGTGGACGGGTAAACCCTGTGAAAACGGCAACGTAGACGGGCGGGAAACTTCGGATCATTTTGTTAGCGTGAACGTGCCTGGGAATTAATGGAACCGAGTTACTTGCATGGATCGAATGAATATGTACACTGAAAGTCTAAACTAAGTCAAGTCAGTGGTTTGCTATTGCTGCGAAAAAATATTCTTACATGATTGATCATCTTTGCTGCAATGGGTCCTTGACCTTGGCCGAGTGAAATGGTCTGAAAATGGGACCTGGTCACACCTAATAATGAAAATTATATTAAGAAAAATACCGAATACACAGTTTTGTGAAAAGTGAAATAAAGCTAAGGGGAGACAACACGGTTGCTGGAAAGAGAGAAAGGAGAAAACGAGAATGGATTCATAGAAGAACCAATTCTAGATTCATCCATCAAAAGATGGCTAAATACTAGCCAGGTTTTTAAAGCCTTTTTCCAACATGGCAAAGTCATCTCAACCATTTCTAAGTGAGGCATTTATTAATCGATACTCATACCAAAGTATATAAAAAATCTTCAAGTGCAATGGGTACTCCTGTAGTTTTAGGTCCAAGATTGAAAACAAGTCATTAATGTCAGTTAGGACGGTAGAAGGACAAACTACCGGAAGTAGGAATGTTAAGTTTAAATAATCTCACCGATGTCTTCTGCAAACTTGACTAAGCTAGCCATAGGATCTGCTCCAGGTGATAAGACAAATATCAACGGCACACAGCAATCGGAGTCCTCATAACACTTGGACAGGTCAAACGTGGGAGGTTCAATGTACGTGGGATTCATGTAGAAAGTGATGAAGTCACGCACACCGAGCGTTACCTGTACAGAAAGAGAATGACAGCTTGCGTGACTTGGATGAGCAAGCAGTGCAAATGCAAACGTGGGCAGCACGTAAGAATGCGAACGCGAAGTTTTCATTGGTAGGGATAATTCAGAACAATATAGATTGAAAATATAGACAAGAATATACCAATAAAGACGTAAAATCATGCAGAGTTACACGACCTAAAACAAACCACTCCAGCAATTCCTGGCGATGACCCTGGCGATCAAAAGTGGGTGACAAAGGTCTATTCCTTACCTTATCCGGCCTCAAACATCTCAAAATGATCAAATGCTGAAGTTTGTTGAGTTCATCTTCCCATGGATCAGGCAACTGCTCTGTTTGTGGACTGGCAGTGTCGTAAAATGCTTTCCACTCAGACAGCTAAAGAATCAGTAGAAAGGGTCAAGACTAAGTCAACCTAATAAACGATTTCTTTTTCACAGAAAACGCATATCATTGATAACACAGTTTATAAACACGACGGAACATCAAGAAACAGGCTCCTCACTACGGTTCTGAAAATGGAGAAGGAGTAATTCACTTTCCGAATTGACAGGCTCTTAGCTGAGGGCAGCTAGAGCTTATAAAACCACAATAATTGCTTCATACGATTTTATTACCTGGCCCTTGTTAGATATTACAACGCAACTGAATCACGTTGAATTTCTTGTGTGAACATAACACGCTGTTTTCTCCTTTCAAAAAAGCTGATAAAAAGTGTTTTTGTTAATTTAAAAGCGGGTAAAAAAGATAAAAGAAAATTGAGCTTTTTGCGGTTTAACCGTTTATGGATTACCATATCTGTCTGTGTTGTCACATTGGGACCTGCAAGATACCTGGATCAAAGCAGTACAAATCTTCCAAAACTCACGTGTTCAGTAAAATGTTGTAAGATTCCTTTGAAGGCTGGTAACGCTGAACATCGCACCATCTCGGCCCAGGACTTATCAGTCAACCAACCCGAGGCAGGGTTTGGGAATTTGTTCTCAAGTGCCACTCCACCCGTCAGCAAAAATCGCCATTCCTGTTCATCGATTTTACCACTGAGAAAACAGAGAAACAAAGGAACTATAAGTAACGAGTACAACTGAACAGTGATCGTTAAAACGAAATATGTGTTTTATAAGTGAAGCAGTATGTGCCATCCACGATATTTACCGCTGAAAATTATAGAAATCACTAAGGTCTGAAGAAACAGCAAGAAAAATAGTATTTTCGTACAAAAATCAAAGAAAACAGCCTAAAGTCAAGATCATTTTTCGAATTTTAAAGACCGCCATTTTGAGCATCTTTTCTTCCGGCTAATTCCATTAAAAAATGTCAGTCCTCACGTTTGATTATTTTCTGTGCAGTTCGCGGAAAAGTAAAGTAAATCTTTCGTATTGATAACGTATTTATTCTATTAAACGAAAGATTAGGTTAGGTTTCTGCGAACTGCACTGAAAAAAATAGCAAAACAGAGAAAATTACATTTGCATACATATATCTTATTAGATGTTTTGATGTGTAGTATCGCTGTATATTTTTACGAGTTGTGCCGTGTTTTGACGAGCCTGTAGGGCGAGTCAAACTACAAACAACGAGTAAAAATATACAGCGATACTACACATCAAACATCTAACAAGAGATATATAATCCAACTGCTGTAGTCAATAAATTTATCAATGAAAGAGGGAGAGTGTGACAGTTTTGCGTGCGCACGCCGACCTGTCCGGCAAACAGGTTTTCTACTGTACAAATAACTGTACAATATCGCTGTATATTTGTACTGTTATTTTGACGCTACTCGCTGCAGTTGGACAATAATGATGTCCTACTGTCGTTCCTATAATCCATTGTGTAAGAATAGGAACAAGTTATATTCGCCTTTTTGGGTTTTAGAACCATAGTTTTATCATCTATATGTAAACATATACCCACGGGCTACGAAAAATACTGTACGGTGACCGAGCCCTATTAAAATTGTTTGAAGACGGGGTAGCAAGAAACGTTTGTGGTGCTCATAGATTCATACCTTCCTTTTAGAATACCAATACACAGCAAGAACGAAAACAAGAGCTTGTCCTTCTCGAACAGTGATCGACAAACGTTCCGGTAGATACTGCAAAACAAACGACAAACACAAGCATAATTATTCACAACGATGAAAAACTGACGTTGTAAAAGGTAAAAAACGTTTCCAGACTGGGTAAATACTGTAATCATGTAATTGCCCTTGTTCGGTATATCAAAATTCGAACGTGATTCCGAGGCTTTCTGCCCCGAGCTGCAAATTTTCTAAGACAACTTTGTATGGTCATTCCCATAAGAGATTGGGTACAAAGAAAACAAGACCACAAATCGAAATTTGACAGAACGCCTTGGAGCCCAATTGGAATTTTAATGTATCGAATATGGCCTATAAATTATTCTCACCTGTATGTAAAATGGTCATTTAGGTTCAAAATCCTCCTTGTAAGGTCCGAAGACGCTTCACTGTTCACGATGGACTACAAAGAAAGAATATACTCTTACCAATCAAAAAAGGCCATGATGCGATGCTGTATCCTCTAGCAAGTTTACCAGCCAACCATAGTCAGTATTCCCAAACTAAACCAAACTTCACCCTCGAAAAAGGCCCGTTTCCTCGCTGGCCATTCCTTAAGCATTTGCCCTTGCAGTTTCTATTAGACACAGGTACTGCTCCGATTATGTTAGTACCTTATCCAAGGACACATGTTAGTAGACACTCAGTGTGTTGTTCTATTTGAAATCCATGAATCTCATTGGTTTTTCATTGTTTTCTATTCACTGATAGGACACAATCGCACAATCGCGCACCGTTGCTCTTGAAAAACGTTAAATTGCAGGATTTGGACTGCAATAAACAGAGTTACACTATTTCCCTCGTTTTCCATGAGCGGCAGTCAAATTGATTACACCTCGTTGAGTATTCGCTAATAAAAAAAAAACCGGGCTCGTAGTCAAATTATTAAATGGACACTTGACTGGAGTCAGTAAAACACGAAAAGCATTATCATAGGAGCAATCGGAAAACTATACATTTATCTCATGATTAAGAAAAGTGAATTGCATTTTGACATTTTTTCGTCTCCATCCTTAAATACAGAAACTCAAAACACAACATTAGAATACTGCACTAACCTGGAGATAAAGATTAATAAACCACGTCAGTGAGTACTGATACATGGGCTCAATGTTTGCTAGGTCAGATATGGTAAAGAACAGGATACTGGAGTGTTGAGCCACCTGATAATTAATCATATTTAGGTAATATCAGATCAACGCAACATTGTGATAAGTCACAACCCATAAAATAAATATTTTACCTTAACTTTGACGTATTGTAATTACGAGTCGCTTCCTGGAAATTGTTTCTAACTTGACTTTCCAAATGTCTTTCTTGTCGAGTGGACACAGCAGTTTTGTAAGAATAGTGATTTTTCAGTTTACTACATAAGTTGAACTGAGGTCCTTCACTTACCGGTTTGTAGCCTCCCCGAGTTTTATCAATTTCTTCTTCAGTCTTTGTAGCGATTTCCTGTTTAACAGAGATCTCCTCTGACAGCTTCTTACTGGATGATAACACCTAGCGATACAAGGACACGTAACTAAACAAATTTCGTCAGTTGTCTCTAGTAATGCAAACATTAAGTCCGTTACAGTAAAAACTCCTGTTGTAAGAACCTACATTTCCTGAAGTCTGGCAAAATAGGTTCTTGTATTTTGGGGACAGTTATTGGCAATTTAGGCTAAATTGGTTCTTAATTAGGTTCCTAAGTTCTATGAAGGAGATACGGATGTTGATTACTAGGAAAAAAAAAAACTTGGGTTTGGTCCTTGAATATACAGTATTTATTCACAACAGTATTATGTATTTTATTGTAATATTCATTTGCAATCACAGTCACGCTCCTAAGTTAACTAAATGTTTATAATAATTTAACTGTAACCCATATATAAGATTTTGCCTGATCTTGCTTGGCTAAACGGGTTATTATATTTTTTTGGTGATAAAAATGGTACATTTCTGCCAGCAGGTTCGTAGACCACTAGGTTCTTACACATGGGTTTTTACTGTACCTCAATCGCTGTTTCGTCTTCCAGAATGTTGCCTTCACTCGTGGACAACACTTCGAGAATCTTATCCTCAATCTCTTTCAACTGTTTCTTGTTTTTGGCGCTTTCTATAATCAGCTCGTTCTTTTTCTCCTCTAATTCAGGTTTTTCTTTAGCAGCCACAATTCCCAATAACTGATCCTCCAGGCCAAGGGGTGTGATCATAAAGTTCAACAAGGTCACCTGAGATACACACAATATCAATGTTTAACAAGGGTAACTGAGCAAAGAGCGGTTTTCAATTGAGTGTCTTAAAACCAAAACCAAAGTCACTCTAGCCAATCACAAAGGACACGGACAGCCTAATGAACCAATCAAAGCTCGAAGCAATTACATGTAGCTGACGCAAAGCGCGGGAAAACGTGAGCGAGCGAGTCACGATAGGTTTTAGTTTTACTTCTGATTGGATGAAAAAGTGACGCGAGTTTTTTTAAGCCAATCGTGTTGCGCAGTTGATGCAAAACCAACTATTTTTCGACACTTTAATGAAAACCGCTCTAACGTTGAATCCAAGGCTAAGTAGTAATAAAGCCAATAGTAGTCAGTTGGGGTAACAACAGGGAGAACAGAATACACTCTCCACAAAATCCCACAGCCTTGACAAGCCTCGACAATCTAATATCCATTTCTCGTTATTTATTATCAATACATTGTTAAGGCGGACAGCATAGCAGAGATGACCAACATAAAACTAATAGGGTATACTGTCGTAATAAAGTATCAAATTCTTGGAACAACGTTAAAATAAATGAGTAGCAATAAGTAAGGAGAATTGGTATTTCAAGCAAATAACGGACAGAGTTGATAAAGAAAGGTAACAAACATGTTCCTTGTCTACTGTTGTGGGTGCTGTACATATCCTTTGGACTAAAACTGAAAGGAAACTATTTGGGTGAATTCATATTTCATAGCTCACCTTGACGGAGACTTCAGGAAGGTAATGCGGGTTTCTTAGTTTTGTGGTGATGTAAAACCTGAAATCCTGCACAAGGAAAAACAAGAAGTGGTTACTAACAAGTACGTGTGTAGTGTCTATACGAACCACATACATGTACGCCGGCTGGGACGACAGATGTTTTCCCAAGTTTATTACTAATACAAAAGAGAGGAAAAAGTATAAAGATGGTAATTTTCAAAAGCGAGATGTAATAAATAAAACACTCACTCTGCTAAATTCAACGACATGATCTCCCATCCGCAGATATTCAACTCCACCCTGAAAAAAAGTAAAAAATGGTTCTGGTTTTTGCAGTAGTATGCTGTTTTGGTTTATTTCTCGTGTACTTGTTGCAAGTTAAACTGAAACACAAGTAGTAGTACTACATTAAATTACTTTCAGCTATAATAAAACTGCAATGCACTCTACAGGTTTGCATCACATTGAAAAGGTATTGCGTTGCAAATCAGGACTCGAAGAGGACAAATTGTTTAAATGAATTACGATGGGGGAGCAAATAACAGCAAAATACCTTGAACCAACCTGTTTGAAAGTCTGTTTTAATAAAATGGGCTCCAATAGTGGATCCAGTTCCTCTCCAACATTCTCCAATAGGACAGGTGTCCCAAACTACAATTAAGAAAAGTAATATAAGAAAGACGTGAAAGAGGTCATCACTTGTCTAATGATATAAAGTGAGAGTCAAAATAATCACAGTGGGTACTATGCTACTGCATCCATCCACAGGAAAATTTTCTGTATAAAGTTATACCTTACGAAGAGCAAATTACTGTACCATATGATGTAATCGTCAAAGATACCAAGCTTTTTGAAGACGTCAAGAAAAACAATTAATTCTGTCTTGTGGCTACAGTTCGGCACGTATGAATGTAATTGTTCTTAACACTTAATGCTAAAAAAGAAATAAAGATCTACAGTTCTTGCATGAAAGATGGAACATAGTTAGACAATTAGAATATAACATTTACCTGAATAGAATTCTCCAAAGTTCGAACGTAGTTCTGGTCTGATAATTTGATCACCTGTAACAATCACAAAAATAGGTATAAAACACTTTTACTTGTTATGAAGCCTATTACTCTTTAACCCACGTTACTTGGGCCAGTAGAACGCAATAAATATTTTTCGCTTAAAAAGACTGAAAAGCACGGTGCGAATTCCGTGTTCTGACCTGTAGTTTATTTGGCTTCTCCATGTTTTTGATCCACTTGTTCGCCTGTCCTTGTGGGTCGATCATCAATGACCACCGATGAGAATTCGTCACGATAATGGCGTTATCGAGTGAGAAACTGAAAGGAAAAAGATAAGCGATTAAGATTGCCAAAATTTCAATTTCTAATCGTACCTGTCTGGCACGCTTCGGAGGCACTTGTATGAGGCGAATTTGGTCGAACCATGGCGAGACCAAACAAACCTGATATGGCGCCTAAGCGTGTCAAGGAAGGTACGTTTAGGTATTTACCGCACCCAAGTGATCATGATATCGTAGACATATCAGACTTGATATCGCAGGATATCAGGACAGTAGACACGGCTTCTGATTGGCGAATGGTAAACTTGGGTGCGGTAAACTTGAATACCAGCGCAGACAGGTCGCGCTAGAGACGGCGAACATTGTACAAACCATGCTTTGACTTTCTCTTTTGTCTCTAGTAAGTTATAGACTTCATTATTTTCTGTAAGTTTCTTACTTGTCGACCGGCAGTCCAGCAATATGCCATGCTCGGGTTGATAACGGATCACCAAGGGTCGCAGCGAGTGAAAAGTTATCGGACACTGGCACATTTTTTTCTCGGCACAAGCTCCACCACTCCTTAATGCATTCCTGAAAATAACACCCAGTATCATTGTATTGCTTATAACAGCGATACAGGTCAACTGAATTCATTTTACGCACTCTCTCGCGAAAGCCCTAGCTGTTAGACCCTGTACAAGTGCAGTCAGCGTTTTATGCTACAGAAGCACTCAGTTTGGTCGATACATCCTAAGAAATATAGATTCGTAGAGTTACTGTGTCCCGAAGATATTTTTGGAAGAGCAAAACAAGTTGCTGTTATGAGTTCTAACGAATATTGACGAGTGTAACTTAAAACGAGGGAAACGTGAAGGAAATCCCGAGTTATGTTTTTGATCCCATCAAGTTTAATGTAAGGGGTTTCAAACAATTTCTGCGCACGCAGTGCGAGTACCTAGAAATATTGATGTGCAAGAGGACTTTTTCAGATGGATTAGCTATACATGCCCACCGCTGTATGTTCTTGATGTGAATGGAACATAAAGTTACCTGTCTAAACTCCACAGTAAAAGGTCCAAGGTAGGCCACGATTCCTCCTGACAACAACACGTCACCAACAATGTTGTTGTAGGTCTCGCCAAGCTCATGTGCAACCTACAAATGGCAATAGCGAAGCTATAACTCCTTTAACAACGGACAAACTGGATGTTAACACAGGTTTTTCCGCGCGGTCTACACACGATTAAAATGGAGGAGATGAAAAAACTATCGAGGAAACTCTAATATTCATTACAAGAGCTCTTTCTTATTTTTTCTTATTTCAGTCTCATGACTGGTAAACAGTATTCTAAGAAACTTAAATAAAGCTTCGTTTCCGGTTTGAGCAGTTTCAAGTTCTCTTGGTACTGACTTGAGTCCATCTTGATCTTTCTCCTCCCAGTCCACTGATCAGCTTCTCTGCACGCAAGAGCTTCTGGGAACACAAGGCGATATTGCGTTCTAGTTCCTGAGAAGACAAAACAGCCGGAATTAATAATTGAAACCACATTGACAATAAGCCTGGTGGGTTTTTTGGAGGTCTCCCCACCCTGTTTAAGTTGTTGTAATTAATAAATAATTTAATGGAAAATTAAAGATGATGATGAAACGTTTCATTTGTCTATTTGTTTGCTTGTACTTTCTCGAAGTCCTTCGCAGTTGTGGGTAGTCCCGGGGAATGATTTTTATTACCTGCAAAGCGCCAAATTCACAGGATGAATTTTCTTCCTGTGCGCATGCCGTAGAATCGGAGGCATGAATTTCAAATTATATGTCAATCAAAAAAGACAGGTTAACAGGCAAAAGTGCGACCGCGAAAGAAGTCGAGCTTGCGCTACTCGCGTTCCTCGCTGTCATTTTTATTTCACTTTCGCAGCACGACTTGTAGGCTAGCCTAGAGAGTACGCAGTGAACAGTAGTAAGGAATTTTTGTCTTGACCTGTCAGTGCAAACAAGCCTTAACTTTCTGGTACTATATTAAAGTTAATGTATTCCTGTATCTTAATTTCTCCACTCTTTTCATCCTGTATCGATACTTAAACAAGAAATAAGGTTTTATCACTCTCACCCTCTTCTTGTTGACTTTGGACCTGTAGTCGTCGTTCAAGTTCTGCAGTTTGTCCATCACTTCTTTAAGTTCTCCTCGTTTCTCGTTTAAATGTGACATCTGCTGAGCCAGAAGAGACTCCGCCTCTGCCAGGCGTTTGCGCTTTGGAGCGACAAGCTGTACACACAAAACAAATGTTGTTCCTGAAAGAAGGCTAACACTCGAATAGTAATTTGTGAAACCTGGACAGGCGTTTAACGAATTATCTTATAAACAACCAGTTAATAATGTATAAAGGTTATCCGTGTTACCTTGGCAACTCTGTCGTAAACCTCGATAGCTCGTACCCAGGAGCACAGTCCCTCGCAGGCGGAGGACACGTTTTTGATGAGTGACGGGTGAAAGTCAGGATTCGTGACGTACTTTTCACGGATCTTACGAATTATTGCTACAGGAATGTTTTCTTTGTCAAATAACTTGAGGCTTTCCAGGAATTTCAAGTCACCAAGAAGCTAGAAGAATCAATCAAAGATGTTAATTGAATGCACTTGATCCAACACAAAACGAGAAACGCTTGAGAATGAATCTCCTTCTCCCTCGCAAAGCCCTTCTGTCCCCATTCCTTGGAGAGTTTTTTCATTTCATGGTATACTGGATGATGGCCTCGATACTTTAACAAAGCAGACTGAAAGGATTATGGCATAAGAGAAGCAAAATCCTCAAACTCGCTAATAATTCACCAAGTTTAACCAAGGAAATCATGACCGTGATGGTGTCTGGATATCTGATCTTCCTAGGCATAGGCTTTTACGATTTTATTTCTCCTTAGTTTTAGTTTCGATTGAGGAGATATATCAAACACTCAAGACAATGTTTGAACACATTTTCAAATACGTCAAAGTTCGTCAAAAATACTCCGCTGCGCGTCGTATTTCTCTACGCGTTACATTTCTCTCTCTTCTCGGTGTTTGGAAATGTGGTGAAGCACGGTCTTTCGTGTTTAATATATTACATGAACTATTGCACCTTTTTCGAAGACGCCCAATAGTCATCTACAGGTTTGCCGTCAACCATCTTCTTCTCTGGCTTCACACCCTACAGACAAACATGAGCAGGGACCAAGAAATCCGATGAGAAACCAAACAAAACAGCAAACACCAACCAAACTACTTCGTTATGACCACGACCCAAGGGGAAACTCCGATCTCTATCAGCAGTATTTTTCCTACATGCACAGTATTGGAGGCTAGTCTTTTAAAAGAAACGCATCAGAATATTTGTCCATCAAAATACTGGTCCAGCCAAGCTGCTCAAACAGTTACCCATTTGTACTGTCACCTGGTTGGCCAGATGCACCTCGAAAATAGCGTCTTTCTCAAGAACCCCAC